AAATAGTTTTTCCTAATATCCAACCTGGACCTCTCCCACCACAACTTGAGCCCATTGCTCCTTGTTCTGCCATGTGTCACTACTGAGACCAGCCTCTCTCCATCCTCTTTGGAACCTCCCTTCAGGAAGTTGAAGGCTCCTATCAAATCCCCCCTCGCTCTTTGCTTTTGCAGACTAAACAGACCCAAGTCCCTCAGCCTCTCCTCATTGGTCATATGCTCCAGCCCCCTAATCATTTTAGTTGCCCGCTGCTGGACCCTCTCCAATGCGTCCACATCCTTTTTGTAGCAGGGGGCCCAGAACTGGATGAAATACTCCAGATGTGGCCTCACCAGAGCTGAATAAACTGTCAACAGTGACCAGGTAAGGTCAAGTGTTTGCAGGGAGGTAAATGAATACACAGGGGACAAGGCCACGGGAAATTTAGTCCTGACAAAGCAGTTCCCTGCGATATACTGCTCCTTCTCTTGCTGTCATTTTGAAACAGCAACTGCATCTTCCTTCCTCTTCCCTGTACAGCAGGCATGTCCAAAGTCCAGCACGCGGGCCAATTGCGGCTCGTGTTCTGGTTTAATACGGCCCCACGGGTAATTTGGCAATATCTATCTTTTATGGCCCCCAATGAATCCATATGTATTGAGATGAATACATTGTAAAATCTCAGTTAAAGTCAGTTGGTCTAAATCAGTTATAAATATATTTGGACACAACATGTATACTTGGTGTTATGTTCCTGTTCATATTTTTTGAACTTAAAAGTTGACAGACAACCTTTATTACCAATAATATGTAATGTACTTTACAATGTTCCTGACATATATTTCAGCTTCCTGGATTTTTTTTTTCATCTGGCCTTCAGATATGAAAGGCAGAGTGATTTAACACCTGTTTAGATTTGTCATCCATGTGACGAAATGAAAAGTATGCCGTTTGCAATAAACTTTGCATAACATAGTTAATTTGCATTTAATTTTAATGGTTCAAAGAATGTCAGGCAAAATGGTCGGCCCTCACGCATGTTCACTTCATCAAATCTGGCCCTCTTTGAAAAAAGTTTGGACACCCCTGCTGTACAGCAAGGAACATTGGTTTTTACCTGGCTGTTCAGAAGCCCATGAGAAAGCACAAGGCTAGAGGTCACTATTAGGTATTTCTTTAGGGTGCGTCTACTGCAGGGCTTAACTCAAAATAAGCTATGCAAATTGAGCTACGTCAATTGCTTATTTCGCAATAGGGAGCTTCTACACAGCACTTATTTCGAAATAGAGCCCTCTTCCTCCGACTTCCCTCACTCCTCGTACAATGAGGGTTACAGGAGTCGGAGTAAGAAGTCCTCCAGCTTGACAGTATTTTGACACTATTTCGAAATAACGACCTGCTGTGTAGACGCGGACTAAGTTATTACGGAATAGCGCCACTTATTTCAAAATAATGTTAAGGTGTAGATGTACCCTTAGACACTTAACTTGGGATTGCAGCCCTGCAGGGCAAGGTTTTCTTCCAGTTAATTGTTACCTCTACTTGAAGGAGGAGTAAAGGGAAATAGTCCTATGGAGGCTGGAGGAGAAGTCCACTCGGCCATCAGCTGCTCAGCCACATGGTGATTCAGAGGCAACTCCAAAGCTGCCAAAAATTAGCTGCCAGTTCTGTCTGCCAAGGAGTATGAATCCATGATGATGCGGGGGAGGGGGATGAGCACCTGGGTCCTATGTAAAAAAAGACAACGAGCTGGAGGATTATATGTTGGCGGAAATGAAGCCCATGAGCCACACCAGTGTGTTTAAAACCACCATTTCATTGTGGTGCCGTGGGGATATGGATGGCCCCAAAGGTCAAAACTAAGACATTTTAACGCAATGGTGCCCTTTGGGTTGCAATGTGCCTCCGTTATGTGCTCTGATGTCATCACACCTGTAATGAGACATCCTTGACGGATGGGATTTAAATATTTGTTGACTTTTAATGAAACCGAGGGTGCATCTCCATAGCACCTGAAACTCAAAATAAGAGACACAATTTGCGCTACACAAATTGTGCAGGGGGCCCAGAACTGGATGAAATACTCCAGAAGCACCTGAAAGGCACATCTACACAGTGCCAAATTTCAAAATAACACACTATTTCAAGCCATCCCTAATCCTCATGCAACGAGGTTTACCAGGATGGCGAAAAAACAGCACACCCGTTATTTCAAAAAATATTTCAAAATACTGTGATGCTTGTGTAGATGCTGGGTAGATATTTCGGGATACCTCCAGTATCCCAAAATAGCCATGCAGTGTAGATGTACCCTTAATGCGAAATGCAAATAGTCACTGAAGGCAAATTTGGTCATTTGTTCCGTTCAAATGAAACTGATCTTTGGAAATGCTGTAGGGCCAGGAACAACTCATTAAACAAGCCCTACATAGTCTCCTATTCTCCAGAAGAAACATTCACAGCACTGTGGTGTGCCAGGTTGTTGCTGGGGTTTTTTTTGGGGGGGGGGGGAGGGGAGTTCCACTAAGAAGATTGCAATATTGTAAGGTTCAGTGTTGAAACGATTCTGTTTCTCATGCAATCAAGCCCTTCTCCCAAAGAAGGGGTAAGCATAAGTGCTCTTGTATATAATAAAAATGGCCTAAAAAAATCTCACATGCAACTGGTTTTCCTGGCAACTTTGAATGCCTTGGAATGTGGTGACAGACCTAGAACTACCCGCAGTTACTATTCAAATGCACTAGGGGGCAGCCTTAGGATAAGAAATAAATTTACCAATGCCAGAAGGCTCTACTGCTGTTGTTAATAACACCCTCTTTCCCCTATTAATATTTCATTTAATTTAATTAGCATCGGAGAAACTAATTAAAATAGATACCAGCGCCCCACAATCAGCAATAAATTGTATCATTATCAATAATTGTGCGCATACCCATAATTCTGCTCTTAATGTCATTTTTAAAAAGAATGACGTGTCTTCAAACTGTCCCAGAGGGGTAGCCGGGTTAGTCCGTAACTTTTAAACCAACTCATCTCATCTGACAAAGAGGGCTGTGCCCACGAACGCTCATGATGCTATACTATATTTTTGGTCCGTCCCTAAGGTGCCACAGGACTTCTTGTTGTTTTTGAAGTTCAAGCGACAGTCTACACACATGGAGCCGGCTCGTAAATATATTGGATCATGAGGTTTCAGGGTAAACCCCGCTTCCCCAGGTGGTTTTATCCACGAAAGCTCATGAGCTCATATATTGGTTAAGTCGCTATGGTGCCAAAGGCCTGCTCCTTATTTCTGAAAACAGGGTTTGCCACAGAAGTCAGGGGCTTGCTCTTTCAGGGCCAGGCCTCTCGGATGGTGACGTGGTGCTGATAGAGGCCCAGTGGGACTGGCAGGCGAACAACACTTGCCCAAAGTGAAACTACCCAGGCAAGAACTACTCAGCGTTGACCAAGGCAAGACCCACCGCTCTGCACAACGGTGTGGCTGAATAAATGAAACTCCTGTTTCTGCCCTATGGAGCAGGGGCAGGGCCCGGGGCAGATCCGGCCCTTTGGGGGAGGCACTTTTTAAAAAGTCTTGTTCCTGGTAGGAAATAGTCTCTACAAAGGCGATACCGGCAGTTCAGGGCACGGGGGACTCACTGTCAGTAGCACTAAGTTCCCTAAGTTTTGACCAGCTGCTGAAAGTCTGCGGGGAGGCCACTGAGATCCCGAGGAGCCCGGCCACGGAGTGGAGGGGGGACCTCGTTGTTTGGCCTACAACTCAGCTCCCCCCCCTTGCGTGGATGCTGAGTCCTTCTCCCCAGCCAAGGGTAGCCAGTGGCCGCCCCCCACGATCA